TCATGATCAACTCTAAGAAGAACCTATTGATTCCTATAGACTTCGGATTGTCTTCGTTCTCCACATCAGCCGAAGACCGAGCCGTCGACCTCTACGTCCTCGAGAAAGTGATCATTAGTTCCCATCCGAACATCAATTTCGAGAAACTTCTTCAATCTTATGACCAAAATATAGTGAAGACAACGAAAAACGATGTCTTAAAGCGTTTGGAAGCGGTTAGACTTCGCGGAAGGAAACGACTTCTTCTCGGATAAGTTGATTGAATTGAATGTTAATATGAGTTAAAGTTATTTAATAAATAAACGCCTAATAAATATGAGTTAAATTTCAATTAACAAATAAAACACAATTAAAATATGAATAAACATAACATTGGATTACAGTTAAGTAATCTTAAGATTACTCTTAATCTTAAGCTTAATGTTCTTGAGATTGAAACCTCCTGAGAGGACCCTTTTTGTGCGTTGGGAAAGGGGTCACATCCGTGTGGACGGCTGTCACCGCGCTTTCCTGCATAATATCTCTGTATATATTTAATGCCACGAAAAGACAGCATAAGAGGAAGGGTCCGAAGAATGCGCCCTCGAATCCCAAATAGAAGACTCCGCCAGCAATGGCCAGACCTGTCATTCATGATCAACTCTAAGAAGAACCTATTGATTCCTATAGACTTCGGATTGTCTTCGTTCTCCACATCAGCCGAAGACCGAGCCGTCGACCTCTACGTCCTCGAGAAAGTGATCATTAGTTCCCATCCAAACATCAATTTCGATAAACTTCTTCAATCTTATGACCAAAATATAGTGAAGACAACGAAAAACGATGTCTTAAAGCGTTTGGAAGCGGTTAGACTTCGCGGAAGGAAACGACTGCTTCTCGGATAAGTTGTCATTGAATTGAATGTTAATATGAGTTAAAGTTATTTAATAAATAAACGCCTAATAAATATGAGTTAAATTTGAATTAACAAATAAAACATAATTAAAATATGAATACAACATAACATTGGATTAACATTGGATTGGATTAAGTGATTGAATGCTTAATGTTCTTGAGATTGAAACCTCCTGAGAGGACCCTTTTTGTGCGTTGGGAAAGGGGTCACATCCGTGTGGACGGCTGTCACAGCGCTTTCCTGCATAATATCTCTGTATATATTTAATGCCACGAAAAGACAGCATAAGAGGAAGGGTCCGAAGAATGCGCCCTCGAATCCCAAATAGAAGACTCCGCCAGCAATGGCCAGACCTGTCAGGTATGGGTGACCCGCACTAACATATGGCAAATATGAGTCAATATATTGATATTTAGTCCGTTATAATAATACCGGTGTTTAGTAATAATAATTGAATACCTTTTAATTTCGCTATAAATGGTTGAATCGACAAAAAATGCTGGAAAATAAGCAGTGATTAGGAGTAGAACTGCTTTTGTCGTGTGATTCTGAACGAAGAAAAGGTCTAAAAAGGCTGGAAATGATGCCCAAAAGGCGCTGAGGAATGGGATGGCGCCGAACATTGCGGCCATCACTGTAGGAAATATGCTTTTATTAGTATTGTCTAATGAAAGCGTGCTGTACCTGAAGGTATGTAAACAATGTTGGCGTCGAAGAGTGTGTGTATGAGCCAAGTGTAGAGTCCATAGAAAGCAGACATTTTGAGAGATGCGACGAACACACCGTTTATGGCCTCCTCTACAGCCCGACCTAACTTACTATTGGTCGGCATATTGCTATAAATCCCTGTCGGCTGCGGTCCCACTTCTGAGGGAAAGATTTGATTCACGAGTTCTACCGGTTTATAGTGCTCTCCACTCGCAGACAACAGATAGAAAAGGGCTGTCATGAAGATTATCTGTCAGGAAATACATAAGTGATTAGCATTTGGATAATGAGTGATAAGAAGTGATTAGCATTTGGATAATGAGTGATAAGAAGTGATTAGCATTTGGATAATGAGTGATAAGATGTGGTGAGACATACGAAACTGAACACGAGATTCATAAGTCCCAGACCTCCGCCCAATAGAGTAGAGAATACGGCTGCGATCGCCGAGAATAGTAGAGTAACGTTCCCTTTTAGGAGTAGCCATACGGAATCGAATACCGAAACTAATGTATCGATATTTTCTTTGACAATATTGAAGCAAAGGGTTAGATCTAATGTCTTGAGTGCATTGTACAGCTTATCGAAATCGTACGGCCCTTTCTTAGGCAATGTACGGAATCGAATACCGAAACTAATGTATCGATATTTTCTTTGACAATATTGAAGCAAAGGGTTAGATCTAATGTCTTGAGTGCATTGTACAGCTTATCGAAATCGTACGGCCCTTTCTTAGGCAATGTATCCGTTTCGTTATTGTTGCGAATCAGCCATAAATGGTAAGCCCTGTCCCAGATCTGCAATTATAATCAATATGAGTCTTCATTCTGCAAGACATCACAACTCACTTCAAGAATCTGTTTCTCCACGTCTTTGCTTTGTGTCACATTTGAGTCGACGTTCAGTGCGCTTCTGACCGAAGTTTTAATGTATTGTCGGCCGTATTCGTAGCCATTTCTCACCATTTCGTCGAGCATTCCGTCCACTCCTCTAAGGCTTTCGGGTAACAGTTGAGTCGATTCCGGATAAGAATTGAGAGTCTTATTGAATACATTGCTCATCAAATTCACTAATTGAAGACTTTCCCCATAAATCTACCAGAAATATACGATTTTATACACAATTTTCATTAATTAAACTGAATTCATATCTATACTGTATTTTTAATACAAACCTGAACTGACATAAAGACACTAATAAATAGAATTGAGATTATAGTTAGACTAATGACTGATATACTGGTCAATCCATCCAAAGATGTTTCAATGAAATCCATTATCTATTTAATTAAATTACAAATTGTAATAATAATTTCTATAATAATAATTAATATTTTAAACAGATTACTAGACAACTGACCACTTTATCCCCGATGAGAAAATAATTATAAATATATTGCAGAATCGGATTAAATAGAGCTCTGTTTCGATTCTGTATGAATGCATTCAAACGATTAAATTCATTGAATAAAACACTTGAAATATAATTCCAGAAGAATGTGACGGCTTTTATGGCCATCAGAATGGGAGCAAAATAGATGAGACTCGGATGCGACCAGATCTGGACAAAGACGACGGCCCACAGAACTGCACACAAATATGTATTACTCTTGTATTCTTTGGATGAATTCGTTGAGACACTACTACTCCGTCTGTTGGAGTAATTGAGGGCTTGTATAGGACTGGTAGCCGTCGACGCAAATGTTTGCTCAGAAGGCTTCTCATTCTCTTCACTCTTGTCCTCATTGTCATCACTGGTATCACTGCACTCTTCATGGTCTCGATGGTCTGTTAGCCATTTGTTTTTGAATGAAATCAATATATTCTTGATTCTAATGGAAAGGCTAACGAAGCCATCGGTTTCATCCATCATATTTGGATTCATATGTCCGGTGATTAAGGTCTTCGTCAGACCAATGAGTATAATTGAAACCGCGATTAAGAAGAATAAGTGTCCATAAGTTCCCAATAAGCAGATTATATGGACTGAGAATAATAGTAAAACAAATGGTGAGAACCATATGAGATACTCTTGTGTCGATTCGGACCAATCAATCATTAAGACAATAAAATAAGCCATTGTTATGGTTATTATGGGAAATGTATGGTCAGTATTAGTCCAAAGAGATAACACAGCACTCGACCACTCAATCGCATACACTATTGACTTATAGACCAATTCATAGATATTGTCCATAATATGCATGAACTGGAAGTGCAATAATAAGAGACAACCGATGAATACAATCACTCGTAAGTACTTATAGATGAATGCGATGACAGAGTCGACGAGACTGTTGATGATATAGACGGGCAGACATAGAGTTCCCAAAGTGATTGGTGTGCCGTCTCTTCTCAGATCTGTTATCCATTTGTTTGAACACAAGAATAGGTGTCGTCTGAACGGGTGAAGAGCTGATCCGCAAAGTATGGCCCAAACGAGTGGTCGCAGAAATGGTTGTAAAATCCAATAACAGTTGTATATAATAATGGATACAAACAACAGGAATATCAAAGCGATTGAGTTATAAAAACCGATTTTGAGTCCCTTTTCGTGAACCAAATTAAACACTTCGTTGAGTCCCACGAAAGGCGATCGCGTGGTCTGTACGCCACTCATCGTCACTACCATTCAGGTGATATCAGTATAAGAGATGGTGTGGTGTCCACAGTAAGCCATTTAATACTTGTCGATCATTTGAATCACAATTAAATACCACACGTATTGACACAAACTTTCATAGGTTTTTGAATTGCAGACAATATTCATGTAAACATTGAGTCATATGTTTGTGAATGCGATGAATGTATGGTTAGACATACACTACAACACTATCGCATGTTTCATACAATTTGCATCATTTGATTGCATTTATATAAATATTATATACAATTAATATGACTATAAAAGTGTTTAATTGTTACATCTGTTTGACTGTAATTATAAAATATAGTGACTAAATGTGATTCAATGACACAATATGTATGAAAATAAGCAACAATTTTGAAACCTATGAAATGGTCGTGATTTGTGTTTACATTGAATTTGACTGAAAGTCACGAAACAGTGAAAACAAAAACAAAAGAAATTTTTTGAGAAATCTTTTGGTATTCAATGAAACGATTAATGGATTTATGAGAACCACTGCCAGTGATGACCACAAAGACATTTGAATAGTGGCCCACATATAGAGTGTTGAGATAAATGAGTGGTGAAGTGATGTCTTGTGGGATGGCATCAGGAGATGGCAATGGCATGGATTGCGTGACGTTTGTGGCGACCCGTCGTAATGGAAGAGCTCTTTGTCTGAAGGGCTTCTTCTATCACATCAACAAATCGGTGGACGAGAGGTCTTATTGGAAGTGCCGGACAAAGGGCTGCAAAGCAACCGTTGTCACCATCAATGATATTATGAGTTCCAGTTCTGGACACCATCTGCACGAACCCAACGACTCGCGAGTGGCCGCCACCGACGCCATGAACACCACTCCGAAGATCACTCACAGAATGAGTCCAAAGATATGTGTGAATCAGAAACAAGTGATGAGTTCCTGTTTACCGCAAAATGGGGTTAAGAAGCAAAGAGTGACCGAAATGTCAAACATTTGTGTGAATCCAAGAAACCAATGGATCCAAGAATCCAAGACCAAAACAAATGCAAATATTGGTCACAATTATGTCGATTACCACAAGAATATCGACTCTAATCACGAGTT